CTTCTCTGATACATTTGTCCGTTGTATATCATATATGGGATTACTTTTAAAAATGTGAAGTTTTTAATTTGACTCAGTATATATATAGAGACATCATCTGAATATGACTATATATGCAAATGTTACGATACTGTATCTATCTTCACGAATTATTAAAAAATGGGCATAAAGCTCACGGAGACGAAGGCTATAAATACAATACCACATTTGATTTTTTAGATGATAAAGTACATCAGTTGATAATAAATTCAGTTATTCATATCTAAAAACCGATTTGCCATATTAATAAACATTTCATGATAAAACAAAATCAAATATGTGATATAAATTCATTCTTTAGTATCCACATATGAATTATTGATATCATATAACGAATAAATAGTAAAAAGGCGCCCTATATATTGTTCTTTGTGGACTGTATTAAGTAACGCATTTGCATCACGGCTATAGTGTTAATTGCTAGTCTGTTTTTCTGCACCATCATTTCTTTCATCTTATGAAAAACTGTTTAAAAAATGGCAACTTATGATTAACCAAGGTAATAATACTTACCCGACCTGCGTTTATTTATCTCTCTGTCATTATTATCGTTAACATGTGTCTACTTTTAAGTGTAAATACTTATGCCATACATCGTACTGGTTAAGGAATGACACATCATCGTGAGATATATGTACTCCATACACATGAACGGTACTTTGATTCTATAGCACAGAAAATCGTTTCCCCGAGTTACTGTGTAAAGGTTCACCCCTTGTTTTCATGCGTCTCATTCAGACAAATAAGTCAGGTGTAACAGTTATCACAATAAAAAGACTTTATACCTGCTGACTGACACTCTTGATGGGTCGGTGATTAAGACAGATCAATACACACGCTTCCTATTCAGTATGTACGTATGATTACATGGCTGTGTGTACGCATGGTATGTATTTATGGCTGTATGTATGATTAAATGTATGTAAATTATGTATGAATGTAAATGTATGTAAGCCCAGATTACAAAATAAATGCTTTGGTCGTTTGAAGCCAGAAGGCAGAAGTATTCCCGGGAAAGAAGCCAACTTTCGGAGTTGGTCACTAGAGCTGAAACTTCTCTCAATCTTTTTGAATAAGGCAAATGGACCAGAGTAGGCTTAGGGATTATCGGCTGTTGTGTGAAAACAATACTTCAGAAAGAACGACGTCCTGTCCCAATGAACAAACCTACAGATTACGGATTGAACGTTAAAAGTGTCTGTCAGGTTTCTTAAGGCTTAATTACTTTTGCTGGAGAATATGTTTCTTGTACAAGCGCTATCAAACATGTTAACATACAAATATATCAATGTTGAAGCTAGGCTTCACTTCAGTTTTCCTTTATTTAGCAGGCCCCTCATACTGAAAAACAGCCTAACTGTTTATATTACTATATCCTGCTGTGCTTTACACCTATCAAAGCTATACATTACTAAAATATATGGGCTTAATTTTATCTATATTGCAAACTTTCTCCCCCTGTAACAAAATCCATATGTTCTAGTATTATATCTGATATATCCGTATTTACATATATACATCATTTATAATTAATAGTCAACATATATACCTATAAATCTTTACTATACTCAATAATGTAACGTAATGTAATACATTAACCCCCCCCCCCCCCCTCCTCTACAATTAAGTTTGGTGGTTCATATCTATTAAGCATATTATTTATTATTCAACCCGACCTAACCCGTCGATGAAATACAGGACTGTGAAGTTGACGTAAAACCTAAAACTTGATGATGATGATAATATATGAATGTTAATGCAACAAGCGGTGCGTGTGAAGATATATTGAATACGTTTGACACATTAACCTATCTCTACACCTTTTTAACGGTAAAATTAGATACATTTAAACGTAAGTAGCATATTACCGTTGAAATTAAAAGGTCTTCAAGAAGATGTATTTCTTATAATAGAGGGTCCATAAGAGTATTTCGTATTTCGTTATGAAAAAATAGTTCTCTTGATATTCAATACTGGACATTTCCCAACAGCCCACTTTTTGTTTGTTTATGGTAAAAGTTAATAAGAGGTTTGGTGGGGGACTAGAGGTAACATTTCAGATGGTGTTATTCTGGCATTACCCACTATTTACTGGAGGATATTGGAAATGAATATAGACTGTCATGTTGTCTGACTACAGATAGGAATTGGTATCTTAACAATCACTGGGGGTTTCATATGAGAGGTGATTTTTACAATTGCCCAAATGATCCTGCTGAGTATTGGTGCTTAGTGATGTCAAATGGAACTTTTTATTATTAGATAAATTTGGTAGTGAAAACTTACTATCTATACAAGATATCTTCAGCCCTTTCTTTCTCTGTGTGTAATTCTGATGGAAAGAAGTCACTCAACCAGTTCATGCATTCCATGGTAAAAAAAGATCAGACTTGGTTAGAATCCGTGTTTATCTCCGACAACTTCCCACTGGTGACATTGTAGTGAACTTGGGAAGTGGTGATGACTTTTTATATTCATATTATTATAATCTGCCAAACTGTACATAAATGTGTGTGTGTTAAATCATAAAATTCAAAGGGACTGTTCCCTACACCCATCAATATCATAATGAATGAACGTTAGTTTATTGTATGGATAATAGAAAGCTCTCACTAAGTATATGTTTTACATGCATGAAAGATGGGATTAAGGGAGAAAGGAAATATTTTCCTGAACGTTTCCAATAACTAGTGGAGGAAATTGGAAATGGCTGAACCTGTAGATAGCGTCAAATCCGTGAAGGATTTGACAGATATCACAGGGTAACATTCAACAGGCTCATTACCTTCGGATCGTGTCAACATTTTTTCTTAACAGTTTAGGAAAAGAGAAAAATTTTGAAGTGAACTACATTGGAAAATGAGAGAAGAAATTTTTTGTCAATGTTTTTATCATAAAAACTCTCTGTTCAGTAAACAACAGTTGTTATTTTAGTACTTTGAAGAGGAATCCCAAACCTTCTCTTACTGTTATGAATGTCTAAGTGAAAGCAAAAAAACATTAAAGTGCAACAAAGCATTTTCCATGGACTTGTTTATTTGCTATTTTGATATACGTGTGTTCAGACTGATTGAAAAATATACAATATCAACTATAAATTTCTTCCGTGTGTGAATGCGTGTAATACTTGCATATTGGCTCCCCAGTTCTCATAATGCTTCATATGAAAGCAAAATTGTGTGTTATATTAACATTATTTCTTATATCAGTGACTGATTTCAAACCGCGTGTCTTGGTGTTACACAGCCAGTGTCCCAACTCTCGTGTATCTACGTTAATGTTTCGCCCTCGCGATCTAACGTTATAACATTTCAGGTCATAGACATCCTCTTATACATAGCAGATGCGTTCTGGACATATTACCTTTCGGCTCCATAGTCAGTACTGTCTTAAAATTGACTTTATTAGTCTTCGGATGTTACGTCTCGTACACACAAACAGGACCGTTTAGCCTACATAAGGAATGTAGCAGACAGTGGATCTTCCAGTTGGCTAACTTTCTGTTGGTAATATCCGTTTTCTTTTAGCAAATAAGAGGATAGTTATAACAAAGATATACGATATACAACGCATATTTGCACAACTATCACAAAACCATTAGATAACCCCTACCGACAGGGTGGGGATTGTGGTTCGAAGCGAAACAGACAACCCTGTATGTTGCCTAATAATTGCTGGGCGGCGCCTTTGATCTTGCCTCTAACCATGCATGAAGTAGGAGTAAACGATGATCAGGATGGCCTGGAAATAAACAAGATTATTTCTTGTTGAATATCAAGGTACCAATTCGGTTCATTCGCGTTACGCCGACTTTCAGAAATAAATTATTCGCGTTACTCCGACCAGCGGTTTCTCTTTGATGATATGTGCGTGATATGTTAACACAGGTGGTTGTTACAAGCACGCAATGAATGGTGTTTTTGGATGGTGATCAGGACACATTCTAACAGTAGAAACATATAACAGATTTATGATACATGCCTTAAAGTGAGTTTAAACATGTCAAAAGCGATTGACCTACAATATAGGGTCATTTACTCCAAATGTACGTTTGTTATATATCGACTGCCTGTCTCTATGTCGTAAGTTCTTAATCGGTAACTGCGGTCCAGATTTATTTAATTTATTCATCTTTTGTTGCAATCTTGACTGATTTGTTTACACAATAAAAAATTCTAATCGATCATGCACTACTGAGGCAGTCAAGCACCTGTATAAGAAATATAAAAGCAGCCATGTTACATGTAGTCCCTAACCAAACCAAAAATTCTACATCCGACCAAAAAAATCGACAGAGTAATTACTAAACTCCAAACAGGACATACCAACCTAAATAACCACCTCAAAATAATAAGAAAACACGCAACAGGAACCTGCCCACATTGCAAACAACAAGAAACCCCAGAACACGCACTCATACATACACTGCACCCACTACCTAACACACCGAACTACACTACAAACCACCCTAAATCTAAATAAGGCTCTTACTCTAGAAGCAATCCTAAACCCACAAAATAAAATAGAAAAATTCAAAGCCTTAGGCGTATACTTAATCAAAACAGGACTAATAAATCGCATTTAAAACCCCAATAAACTACCAAAACCAGACCACATAATCAAACTAACAAACTTCCATACTCAGGTCCCTTAGTTCGTCCCCCAAACCCTCTTGGCATTTTTTCAAAATTTCCAAATTTCCAAAATTCTATATAAGCAACCACTAAAACACCCCTACTGGATTGCCAAACAACTTTTTCCTCTTTTCGGAAACACATTAAATGGCTTGGCCGGGTCCGTGTGCGAAATACGCTGCAGTCGGAAAGCGCACGTAAAATCTCCAATATAAGTAAGTAAGTAAATGTAGTCCCAAAAGCTGGCAATTATTTCGCCGCAATATAACTGAAAAAAATGCTGATGTGACGTGACATATACCCACAGATATATACATGTTTCCAATGAGTGTAGCACAATTTTATCAAAGTTTTATTTACAATTTGAAAAACTATAATAATATGAATATTAAAATTCGTCATCACTTTTAAAGTTTACTAAAATGTCACCAGTTGGAAGATGTCACAGATAAACAAGGATTCTAACTAAGTTTATCCCCAATTTGCCAGCACAATGCAGAGGATTAACAGTTACTGTGAGTGAGCATGGTTTTACGCCGCTTTTAGCAGTTACTGTGTTTATACAAGCACAGAAGTCATGCAAAAATCGCTCACAGTAGTTAGTGAGTAAACTCAACTGAGGATTTTATAAGTATCCATCACAACCTTTGAAAGCTAACATGTGAATAAACTCAGTTCACTGTAACTTAAATAATTAGTGGGTGAATGAGTTAAATTTTAACGTCACATCGGCAATATTTCAGCCATATCGTGACGAAACAAAATTTGATATGAACAATATAAAATTCTGCTGACAAAGAGCAGTATAATAACTAGAACATCACAGACTTTCGTAAAACTAACAAACTTCGATGCATCAAGGTTTTCTCGTCTGTTCTGTGAAGTCTAACACTGCACAAGCAGCTTGTGCACAACGCAGCGCCATCCACTTTATTAATTAAGGACTCACGAACCAACTAGGTCTGCCTTTCCCACTGATAACTGTCACAACATGGCTTGTATTTACATGAATGTGTTTATTATTCAATAAGTTACTACTAACATTTGATATAAAAAAAACGTACATGGAAAGCGGAGGGGAAGTTACAGGCTCAAACTACAAAATGACTTTTCACGGACGAGAAAAGTTTCCTGATGTATTTATATGAAAAAAAGGTTTTCTGGACTTAAAGGAGAAAAAATAGTAACAAATTGGAAGGGAGAGGTTCGAATATTCATGGTATTCTCCAATTTCCTCTTCGACAACGTACATGTATATCAAAACAGATATACAATAAATCGTCAAAGCACTTCTAGAAGAAGTCATAAAGGCCTGTGCAAAACCAGCACCGATCAACAGATGTCAGATAATAAAAGCGAAATGGCTCCACTTTGCAAGCTACACGATTGCCCTAATATGAGTTTCAGGCCATGCAAACAAAACATTGATATGGAGCAGAAATATAACTTGTAATTCAATATCTAAAGTTATAAACATATGAATGTGCGGGCATATAACATGACGCGGTCATCATGCGAGTTGTAATCAATATGTAATATACATTAGCTCAGATCCGCCAATAGTTCCACGTTTGTGCTTTGATAACTAAACTGATTAATCGTGACACCAACATAACTTGATGCATAAATTTACAAAGTGCACCTGAGAGATTGCGAGATCATTCATATTTGAAGGTAAGGGATTATCGTATTGTAGTTAGCTTAGGATTCTTCAATGGAAAACTAATTAAGTGCTGAAAGAGTAAATGAAGTAATCTGTCAGTGGAACAAAGACATCGTCGTCCATGTACCTATTTTTAATTAATCCAAAGTTCCATTGAGGCATTCTGAAATGCTCTTTTTACACAAGGACTGACATTGATATTACGAAAATGTCTATGTTATCACATATAACTAACAGGAAGAGATATAATAGCCATGAGATATAATATCATCCACTAATACAACCCCTTTTCGAGTAAACAAATTCAATGCACGATACATCAGTTCTGCTATCACATAATAGGCGTTTTCTCCGGATTTTTGGCATCAGAGGGTAGATCACACAATGGTAAAGCCACTACAGTTCCTGTTTTTTTCCAGTTTCGATAGCGTCACTCCCAGGTTCTTCTCCGTAGAGGTCTCGTTGAATTTGAAATTCCTCTTCTTTCTCCTGAAACACCTGGTACAAATGTTGGGTGAGATTTGCTGCAACTAATTCGCTGGAATTCCGGGAGATCATGGACAAGAGAAGCACCCCATCGATTCCGAGGAAACTGCTGATGAAACGTGTTACAGCAGTTTCGTCAGGGCGAGATCCTTTGGCAGCGTTGATATGGGCAGCTATCCTGCCATCTCTTAGGAACGGTAGGAAGAGAAATCCTGCCCACAGGACGAGATTAAGGATTGTGATGACAGCCAGAAGGAAGACCCAGTACCATAGGAATATGAACATCTTCTCATAGATTTTGGTGATTGGCAGAGTACACGGAACTGTAAATATATGGGTGCTAATCCCGACAATTTGAAAATCGCAATAAATATCTTTTACAAGCAATGGTTTTATGATGGAGTCCATATCCAAACCAGCATAGGACCCTACCCTGATTGCCAGGTATTGTCTGAAGTATATCGTCAGGAACATAAACTGTGCTAAGAGATTGACACATGAGAGGATCTTCACAAATAGATACAAAAGAGCTAGAACGAATCGATTTCTTCTCAGAAGACTTCCAAATACTCGGGCTGCATCACTGAAAATGGCCTGGCGGTTCTCCGGATCGGTCAGTTGTACACTTTTCAGAGACTCAAAAGTTTCGTCCATATTTACAGTTAACAAATGCTTGCTGCTGTTCCAAATGATGTTTGGTACTTTGAAAGCGAGTGTTTGGAGGAAGAGTATCAGGGGTATCCAGAGGTGGAACGAGGGGACAGAGGGAGGTTTTGTTTCGTCCTCATAATTATCAAATACTGGTTGGCTATTATACATATCCTTCTGAAAACATGATTCCTGTGTGTACGAGATCATAGAGCCTTCGAATTGAGCTGGGCACCAACAACTGATGGGTGTAGTGATGTAACGCAAGGCGAATGATCCGACAGAACACACGGCGAAAAGAAGGACTGTCCAGCCGTTGATGGAGTCGTCATAATCCTGATCTAATCCACTTCCAAACCATGCTCGAAATACCGCCATTTTTATCTGGAAGCAAAAAAATGATCGTCAGTCGAAGTAGAACAGCTTGTCAATTTAATAGACGTCTATTAAATCTTAATAAGAAAACTGTTTATATTGCATTTGCGTGTTGTCATAAATTAAAGCGATTTTCTTGTATAGAATGTAATTTGATCAAGAGTTGCACTCGTTAAGCTTGCAAAGCCATGACGTCACTTAGATGAACCGTCTTCGACTGACACCAACTCAGATTTTCCAGAGGAAATTAGTTCGGTATTTGGCGGTTAATTAGTGACATTAATGGGATAAACTTTGTCAAATGAAATAGGTTCTCTAGGGTTAAATGTGAATATTTGTACTTCAGGCCGCGTCAGTCAAACAGTTGCTGTTCAGAAAAAGAGGTCAAGCTACCTATTAAATGTTTGAATGTATCTCACCAACTAGATACATTAAAAACTACACCACCTGATAAAGTGACTGTGCCCCCTGTATGGTGACTATGTCGATTTAACACTGGTGACTTGACACCCAGGGTAACAGTACAGTCAGTTTACCTACTACAATACTTAACACTACTCACAATAATTAACACTCTCAGGCCTGTTCAAGTGGTTAGGATTGGGTGGAGAATATGGGCAAAGGGAATGGGTCTCACCATGCATACATTCGTCTCATTAATGTCTTTATAAAAGCGGTTATTGTTGCGAATTGCCACGACTGGCATTTTAGTACAGAGCTTTGATTGCTACCCCTACGTAGGGACAAAATAAACCAGGTTCTATATGTTTCTCTTACAATGGATAATATGTTACCTCACATTAAACAACTAGCTTCTAGTTGGTTAAGGGGCGGGAAATTATTTTCTATATAGACCGTCCACAGGTGCACATAAATTTAATGCAGCCGATGAGAAACCAATCGGAAAACATCTTAGGTCATTTGCTAATCTCGCGTAAGTAAAACGATTCGTCTCTGTTTCAAAATGAATTAATAAAATGATTGTATTTTATTCCTCGTTATTATTATGTTTATATGTATGAACAAGTTCGAGAAAAAGCACCACAAAAACGTTTAAAATATTAACGTCAACGACAGTCTCGATTGTCAAACGAAGCAGATTCCAAAATAGCGGCGAAAATTATTTAAATGGATCACTGAAAATCGACACCAGGTATTCATGAAATTGTGGAAGCAAGTCCTGCCCGACCGGTAGCACCCACTCCTCACATAATTTGTATAAACAGTATTAAAGTTGTGTTTGTTGCCTGATGTTGGATTATACACGCTTACACTGGAGCTTCCCAAGGTTGTGTGCTACCTCCGGTACTATTCATTATATAAACTAACTTATTACTTTCCCGTGAAGAGATCACCCGTTTAATAAACATACAGCCGTATTACACATTGTGTAATACCAAAACGCGCGCTTATGTACTCTCGGTACACGTTTCACGAACAAATATTGAAAGCTCTCAACATCCCTTGGCTTATTCAAAGACATTGCGTGTGGAGTTGATAAATCATTGAGAGGAGCTTATGCACACTCGATGACCCCAGCAACCTTGTTGCTAGGCTGACGTCACATTGTCAGGATGGATCTTGCAACAAACTTCGACAAATTACGTCATCGGGTATTGTGACGTTATTGTAAACTTTTAGGTGCAAGGTGAGGTGAGGTGAAATTGGGTTTAACGTCGCGTCCAAGATTATTGCACTTATATAGCGACGTGCATGCACGTGTATGTGTGTGTGTGGCTGCTTGTACTAGTCCGGACTGATGCCGATTTATAAGTGCTAGCTCACTGAGATACCATGCCGCAGTTTAACATGAATACCCCACTCAGACACAGTATACTGACTCCGAGCCGACCAGTCCTTGTTTTAGCCCCTTAATGCCGAGCGCCAGACAGGGTAACAACAAGTACAATCTTTTAACGTCTTTTTGTATGACGCGGCCCGGGATCGAACCCTGGACCTTCCGCTCTCCGGGCGGACGCTCTACCACAAGACTATGGAGGCGGTCTTAGGTGCAAGGCCCCATTCCACAAGGCGATCGTATTGTAGCGCAACGACAGTCGTTAGGTCTAAGTAAAAGCATGTGAGTTGCGATAGTCTTAGCCCTACGATAATTTTGTGAATTCTAAAGGTGGACCGTTGTATGGTATTAAATTCATACGTTTCAACTTTTGACGTGTTTGAAGTATTATTCTTTTAAACTCAATTGGACTATGCCGTGGATCGTGTATGTGTCAGCCTATTCATACTCAACAGTATAATTCTAAAAAGGTTATATATGGCAAGTAATATGGCAAGAGCTTTCGCTCGTCAGATACCACAACTATTCATGAGTTTCATAAAATTGGTTTTACTCCGGAGCGAGTTTAGTATTCTATATGACTGTTTCACCTCTTTCCCGAACTGCTCAACGGGGTGGTTTGCTGATGACATCTCCATTAGCAACCTACTTTTCGACAATGAAGACACTTCTAATCAATAATTTACTGAATGATGTGACGACATTTTATAATATATTTCGAAAGAAGAATAAAAAACAACACAAGGGACTATTAACCGATATACAGTGGAAGATGTAACAGAGTACAAACGTCTTGGGACAATCTTCGACTACAAACTGACATTTTCACGAAATACGTAAACTGTTTATAATAAGTGCTAATCAGATCGTCACTTTTCAAGAAAACTGTAAACTTTTAATCTTGACAACTCTGTTATTTCTTGGTCTTATAAAAGATGTATTGGCATGTTTTAATCTTCTGCATTCAGTGCTTGTCCCCATACCGAATAAACCTAAACCCAATAAAATCATTACTATAGGAGGCTCTATCTCAGGATTTCAGTAAGCTGTATAACAACATTTGTGGAATCTTAGAATTTTAGAAGATCCTCAACACTTTTTATGTCCTTGTTATACGCTTTTGACATTATTAGTATGTACAGATTAAAATGAAAAAATGCAGCAGAGAGGGTTTGGGTGATCCTGGCACAGTCAGGCTTGTTAGGCTCATCATCAGCTCAGGGCCCTTGCCCCCTCTACACGCAACCCAGACATCGAATAGGACTTCTCCCAGGAAGCGCTGCCTTGTCACACCCACCCAGAACCTTACGGAGAATGTGAAGATTCACCCACACTGCAGACTTCTGCGTTACCTTGATTGTCAGAAGGGTTGTATTTCTGGTAGCCACCCCGGGTACTCTCCCAATGTCAGTCAACAGATTGGGAGGTACCAAACCTAAGGCACTGAGAACAATGGGGAGTCGGACAACTTGGTACTTGGGATGCAAGCGTGACATTTCGAATATTATGATAATGATTATGATTATTATTTCAATTCATCCTACGTTAGCACAGCTGCTTTAGAAAAGAAACAATACAAATCTAAAGGTCACAAACGAGCAATGTTCATGTCGGGCATCACAGGCCCTGCATGGTCGCTGGCTGGCTTTTTTCGTGTGAAACATGGTCGATCTCCGACACCCATTGATACTGTTTTATATCGTCAGGAGAAATGTGAAACCTAATAAATTGTCAGGGTTTTGTCACAGAATAGTTTGAAATATACTGATTGTAATAAAACACTCGTTACCAAAAAATAAATCTACATTGCAGTTACCATTTATGCAGCACTGTTCAGTGACGTCCGTGAAGGCCTCGTGGAATGTCCTACTTCGGCTAAGCAAACATGTCGTCTATTTATCGCGAGCTGGCTGGTCCACTTGCAAGCAAAATGGCGGAATGCAGGACCATAAAAATAAATTATTTCCTGGCTATTACTACTGGCGCACATCGAACACAGGTCTACAATCGCTTTCAGTGAGATAGTCACTGGGGTTTTCGCCGCTGTTAGCATCATTCCAGCAATACAGCGGGGAAAAAAGGACTGAGCTTAACACATTGTACTCATGTGGGGAGTCGATCCCGGTCTACGGCGTGACGACCAATCGCTTCGACCACGGTACCACCTGACCACTGCTGAAGTAAGGGAATAAGCCTGGCATATTTTGGAATTCGTGAGAAACTGTTTCACTTCTTCGGCTGTAAATTAATATTTCAATAATGTTGCTACAATAATACTGAATTCACATATACTACTAAAGATAAATTAAAATTAATCATTGAAAACTATAAAAAAAATACATAAGAAAGCCACACGTTTGTTGAATAGGCATAAATACATGCATCATGTTCGAAAAATAGCTTTATTGGCATGAGTTAATCGCGTGAATATGTTAAACCGGATATTTAATCATCTGGACGATTTACAACCATTTCATCAACTTATTTTACACGCGAATCAAACCTGTGAAGATCTGTGTTAGCGAAGGTTTCCAGCAACCCATGCTTGCCGTGAAAGGCGACAACATGCTTGTAAGAGGCGACTAACGTGATCGGGTGGTCAGGCCCGCTGACTTAGTTGATGCGTGTCATCGATCCCAAATGCGTAGATCGATGCTCATGATGTCAACCACTGGATAATCTGATCCAGACTCGATCATTTATAGACCGTCTTCATACAGCTGGAATTTTGTTGAGTTCGGTTTTATACCAACAAACAAAACAAATAAACAATCACTCGCGAATCAAAGGAACGGTGACCATTTTGCGCTGTAACGCTGCTCTCAGTCTTCCTGTGATGTGTTCGAAACACGCCAGTGGTGCTCAAATTTGCAGGGAACTAAATACTTTCAACAAAGTTCAGAGCTATGGTCACGAGAAATACATTAAGTGGCTTGTCCCGGAATGACATGGAATGGCACACGACGTGAATGTCCCAGATCAATATTAACATATTGGTGTAGGGTGAGTGATTGAGTGAGTGAGTAAATGAATTTGAGTTAACGCTGCTTTGACCAGTTTCCCAGTTATATGACGGCGTGTCAGCTTAATATTGGAGGAATGCCCGAAGTGAGGCATGTCTCAGACGTTTAGCACTGTGGTGAAACCTACGATCAAGTTTATGGTCCTGACAAACTTAGATACAAAATCGGGGTAATCCGGGATTCGAACCCACGATGATAGGTTTCTGAGTCTGTGCACATCGCTATTGACATTTTAAGAATTGTTACGCTGCTGTAATTAAGAAATTTGTTATAAAATATATTTGATTAATGTAACTTTATTCTAAATGATTTATTCTGTAAATATAAGATTAAATTATTTTGGGTACAAAACGTAGTCATTTTAACTGTGGTTTATTGTTTTCTCATCAATCGCTATTGGCAAATTGGTAGGAGCTAGATCGCTTTTGTGCGCATTGCGGTGTAATAAAATACGAAAAGTCAATTTAACTATTGTGAACGGGTAAATTTGCCCTCTGGTTGTTACTGTCCACGCAATAGACATAAGCAATTGAAACAATTGCGTCTTATATTGTGTTATGTGGAAACTGTGAGCGTGGCACTTGATGCCAAATAGCTTTATCATACCTCCATGTCCGAATGATGAGATCTAATTGGTCAACGTGATCTTGATAAAATACGACAAATCCCGCCTTGGGGGGAATAAGTTTCCCATCGGGCGAATAAATCCCTTATACCCCGCCACGAGCAAGACAGACTGCATGTGGATTTCTGAGAGGCAGAATAAATTCCTTGTACCCCGCTTCCAAGCAAAAAGCCGCACTTGTTTCCCGAGTCAATTGAAGACACGAGAAACAGCTGTTTTCTATCAACTTTGAATTTATTTTTATGCTTTTACAATGTCATATCGAAACATGTCGAAAAGATGAATTCGCTGTAGCAGGATTACTCGTGATACTTCGGCTCGTCGAGCGACGCATAAAACTCCATGTACCCCTCGTGATCCTGCTACAACTTATAGTGTTCCGGGTGAAGGGAGGGCGCGCATAAGTCCTCACCATCACTTGCGCTTCATTAATAAACGCACTAAAACCAATAATATTTCAACAAAAGTTATTTTCTTATAAATTACCTACCTTTGTTACCAGGGAAGTTTGTTTGATAAGCAGTACTGTTCATTCTGAAAAATTCGCCCTTTGTTACATGGGACGCATGACTAGCAATGATAATCTCACCTTGGCGCTACCATCTTCTCCAGACAAGGAAGTTAACTGACTATAAAAATCCAGTTTCCACCCTTGCCAAACTAGGCTGCAATTATGGATTGCAAGATTCGCAAAGTATGTGTACCGCCAGATATTTTCCAAATCTTTTCATGTTTTTAATCAAGGTGCTAACATGATTTGATGTATTCTCGAAGTAAGACCCGTTTTATTACAAATTAGATGTTGATTATTTATCAGATCGTCTTCACTGAGGGGACGCCATTATGTTTGAAACGAATGCAAGTGATATGACATGTGGAATCTGATTGGTAAATAGGAGGGACATAAAAGGGACATAACTCATAGTAGTCACTGGTTGCGCTCCCAGCGTAGTTCGGCAAGGGTGGAAACTGGACATTTCAGTCAGTCAAGTCCCTTGCCTCGGGAAGATGTGGCGCTACAGATGTACAAAGACGTGTGTGTTCGTTTTGTTTATTTCTGTTTAGGTTGTATTTTATTATAGGGTTATATTGTATATGATAAACACCGAGTTAAGCGTTCACGAAAACCACCTTTTACCTTTTGTAAACCTAGAGGAAACCCAGATGGCGTGTGTAATGGTCCATTGCTTCAGTAGCCTCCCGCCATATTTGTAATCTCTATGTTGTGGGAGCCTTTGGTGTCATTTATACCCTATGACTATGATAGTTACATGTTTATGATTGTTTTAATGTCACACTGTCTTTTCTGTATATGAGTGTATAAACTTGTAAATAAAAAAACACCTAACGACTGTAGTAAATTTAAAATTATTAAAAAAACATTACCGTAGGTATTATAAAAATATATCACTCAGAGATTGTATAACTTACCATAGATAACAGCTTTTTGTTTAGTATAACTTTGTAATCATCTTGATCACTTGCGCTCCATTAATATACGGAATCACATCAAAACATTGTGCTAAAGGGTTTCCTTCTCTTTCACGGTTCATCAAGTATACACTTCCCCGCTACAGAGCAAGGTCTTTGCTTATCATTATAAGAGACCTCATGTATGTCATCTTCCGTTACAAAGTCGTGAAAAGAAAAACACCAGGTGACCTCACGATTTCAGAATAAACATACTGATATAATTAACATTAATTATTTTCATTTGCCATGTTTTTCCTCAATCTTGTCAATCACATTAGTGTCAAAAGGGACAGAAATTCAATTATATAAATGATTTCATTGGATTTATCAAAAAGGACAAGATCAGGCTTGTTGGCCTGGATACATCTGTGGCTGTGTACGGGCCTATTCCAAAGAATTTTGTATTTATCATTTTCCATGACGCCCTCTATTTATTCCGGGTCGTACCATGGATGGACCTCTGTGTCAAAACCACAAGCATGGCGAAGACGGTAATGACATTATCGAGCCACCCCTTCATGTCGCTTAAGATACCGTATTTGTGCCAAAGCTGGGCATCCACTGACAGTCTCATTAAATTCAGTACATAATCTACATTTCATATTTACATTTTGATGCAAAATGACACACTGGCGGTTTCGAGTGGGAAGACACTGGTCCTAAGCAACAAACAGAAAGCCTACTGTTTCACTTTTCAGGCCACCCGACCTCGTCCAAGCGAAGGAGTGTGCAGGGTTCCTGAACATCTCAACACACTGCACATTAACTCGATGCAGTGTTCGTTCAGATAGCCTCTCTTTGAAAAGTCTGGGCCGATTTGATATGACACTTCACTTGGTTGACACTCATTACTGTACCGTCCAGGAGTATAGAACCATAAAAAGACACTGACATTGAAATGGTGTCCCACATCATTGGCTTGTTTACGAAAACTCTGGAATGCCTTGTTTTTATCATGTTTCTTGACATGCTTCACAAGGGGATAATCAGACAAATAAATGTGTGCAAGACTGCACAAAACAATTTTATCATGAAGAGCCTCCACATTAATAATAATAAAAATAATTATTATTATTTTTGTTCAGTTACTAAAATCGATTGAAGCCTGCTTTAGCGTCCATATAACGTTCAAGTAGGAATTGCAAGTACGCGACACATCAAAACGTTACCCACGCTTCTGACTGAGCAGAATGTCGGCGTTCGTTCATACCAAAAAAACCGCTTTAAGATGGTATTTGTTGTGAATAAGCCTAGCACTTAGCATTAAGAGTGAGTTTGATTTTACGCCGCTTTCAGCAATATTCCAGCAATATCACGGCGGGGGACACCAGAAATGGGCTTCACACATTGGAATCGAACCCGGGTCTTCGGCGTGACGAGCGAACGCTTTAACCACTAGGCTACCCGACCACCCTAGCATCAAGAGGATAAAACAAGGACTGACCCGCTTGTAGTTAGTATAACGTGTCTAGATGTGGTGTCCTTGGTATCTCAGGGGACTAGCATTATAAAACCGGCTTAAGTTCGGACCAGAACAAGCAGCAACACACACACACGTGCAATCACGTCAATATGTGAATGAAATTGGACGCTAAACCCAATCACGTCAACCTGGACTCCACTGAACCTTTTCCAAATGTCAGATAACCATTATTGAGAAATGGGGACGGTGGGATAGCCTCGTGGTTAAAGCGTTCGCTCGTAACACCGAAGGCCTGGGTTCGATTCCTCACATGGGTACAGTGTGAAGCCCATTTCTGGTGTTCCCCCGCTGCGATATTGCTGGAATATTTCTAAAAGTGGCGTAAAACCCAACTCACT